TTATTTCAATCATCATAGTACTTTCCAAATTTAGTTAGGCATAAGTGGGAAAATTTGATTCCATTTGAAATTCAAATTTTGAATTTCAAAATCTTTCCAATTTTGGAATTCCTATTTAGGAAAGTTTTTATTCTTGATACTAATTTTAATTTAAAATAAATTGGTCTCATAATAACTTTCCTAATCCACAATCCCTCTTTGGAAACTCCCTAAATCCTTCCCCAATCTCCTCCCTTTCTCTCAATGTCGCCAGCCTCCCTTGATGGGCTCCCATTAATTGCCCATTAACTCCCCTAGATCCCATTTGAAATTTGAAATTAATTTCAAATTGGATTCCCCTCAAAATTTACTCAAAACCTGAAATTAATTTCAGGTTTGGATTAAAAGCTCTATTCCCCTATTGGTTTAAACCTAATTCTTCCCTTTAGCCGACCCCCTCCTCTCCTCTTTCTCTTCTCCACCTTGGCCGCCCCTCTCCTTGTTAACTAACAAGTCAAATATGAACTTATTATTTAGGCTTGATTCCTTAATGAACCAAATGCAAATAAAACTTTTTTCATTTGTGTTTGGCTCATTTAAAACTCATAAAGATATATATTATTAAGTATTAAATATGTATATATGCTTTGAAAAAATAATTCTAACTTTAAATCATGATGTAGCAATTGTGGTGTTAAGCGTTGCTCTTGTATGGTGTTGTAGTCTTGAATTTGATTACTTCTATTCTTTCCTTTTTCAAAAGAAAGAAAATACCTGTTTGAATTGTTATGCTTGTTTGTTTATGTTTGTGAACATGTCAAAGAATAATGAATCGAACAAAAGCAAAGATATATTAAACATTAACAAACATGAACTAAACATTGACATGAACTAAACATTGACATGAACTAAACATTGATTGTAACAAAAATTCACAAGTTGAAGTGAAACAAGGCTCCACTTATTATGTGTGGTTCGGGTGTAATAGGAAATTTAGAAATGACATAAACATTGTTAATGAACTTAAACAAAGATAACTTGGATTGTTTTTGGTTTATTATGTTCATCTAAAGACCAATCCATC